GGAAGTAAATGACAGCCCCAGAAGGAAAAAATCTACGTTTAATTGGGGTTCCCAAGGGCGACGAAAGGGACAGAGGGCCAGAAAGTGAACTTGACCAACTTATAGCTGAGAAATTCCCTAACTTGGGAAGGGAAACAGGCATTCAGAACTAGGAGATAGAGAGATCCTCCGCTAAAATCAATAAAAATGGCTCAACACCACGATATTTAATACTGAAATATGCAAATTCCAAAGATAAAGAGAAGATCTTTAAAGCAGCAAGAGACAAGAAATCCATAACGTTTATGGGGAGAAGCATTAGTAGAACAGCACACCTCTCCACAGAGAACTGGCAGGCCAGAAAGGGCTGGCAGGATATATTCAGGGTCCTACATGAGAAGAATATTCAGCCAAGAATACTTTATGCAGCAACGGCTATCATTCAGTGTAGAAGGAGAGATAAAGAGCTTCCAAGATAGGCAGAAACTGAAAGAATATGTGACCACCAAACCACCTCTGCAAGAAATTTTAAGGGGGACCCTGTGAAAGAAAGAGGAAGTCCAAAGAAACAATCCATAAAAGCAGGGACTGAATAGGTATCATGATGACACTAAATTCATATATGAATATATGAAATTCATATATTTCAATAGTAACTCTAAATGTGAATGGGCTTAATGACCCATCAAAAGGCACAGGGTTACAGACTTGATAGAAAAGCAAGTCCCATCTATTTGCTGTCTACAAGAGATCCATTTTAGACATAAGGACACCTAAAGCCCGAAAAAAAAAGGTTGGAGAACAATTTACCATTCAAATGGTCTTCAAAAGAAAGCAGGGGTAGCCATCCTTATATCAGATAAATTAAAGTTTATCCCAATGGCTGTAGTAAGAGATGAGGAGGGACAGTATATCATACTTAAAGGATCTATCCAGCAAGAGGACCTAACAATCATGAATATTTATGCCCCGAATGTGGGAGCTGCCAAATATATCAATATATAACTAAAGTTAAGACATACTTAGATAATAATACACTTATACTTGGTGACTTCAATCTAACACTTTCCACACGCGATAGGTCTTCTAAACACAACATCTCCAAAGAAACCAGAGAATTAAATGATACACTGGACCAGATGGATTTCACAGATATCTACAGAACTTTACATCCAAACGCAACTGAATACACATTCTTCTCAGGTGCACATGGAACTTTCTCCAGAATAGACCACATACTGGGTCACAAATCGGGTCTGAACCGATACCAAAAGATTGGGATAGTCCCCTGCATATGTTAAGACCATAATGCCTTGAAACTAGAACTAAATCACAAGAAGAAGTTAGGAAGGACCTCAAACACGTGGAGGTTAAGGACCATCCTGCTAAAAGATGAAAGGGTCAACCAGGAAATTAGAGAAGAATTAAAAAGATTCATGGAAACTAATGAGAATGAAGATACAACCGTTCAAAACCTTTGGGATACAGCAAAAGCAGCTCTAGCACCTAAAGGAGCTAGAGAAAAAGCAGCAAATAGATCCTACACCCATCAGAAGAAGAGAGTTAATAAAGATACGAGCAGAACTCAATGAAATCGAGACCAGAAGAACTGTAGAACAGATCATCAAAACCAGGAGTTGGTTCTTTGAAAGAATTAATAAGATAGATAAACCATTAGCCAACTTTATTAAAAAGAAGAGAGAGAAGACTCAAATTAATAAAATCATGAATGAGAGAGATCACTACCAACACCAAGGAAATACAAACGATTTTAAAAACATATTATGAGGGATCCCTGGGTGGCGCAGCAGTTTAGCGCCTGCCTTTGGCTCAGGGCGCGATCCTGGAGACCCGGGATTGAATCCCATGGCGGGCTCCCGGTGCATGGAGCCTGCTTCTCCGTCTGCCTGTGTCTCTGCCTCTCTCTCTCTCTCTCTCTCTCTCTCTGTGTGTGTGTGTGACTATCATAAAAAAACATATTATGAGCAGCTATACGCCAATAAATTAGGCAATCTAGAAGAAATGGATGTATTTCTGGAAAGCCACAAACTACCAAACTGGAACAGGAAGCAATAGAAAACCTGAGAAGGGCAATAACCAAAGAGGAAATTGAAGCAGTCATCAAAAACCTCCCAAGACACAAAAGTCCAAGGCCAGATGGCTTCCCAGGGGAGTTCTATCAAACGTTTAAAGAAGAAACCATACCTATTCTACTAAAGCTCTTCGGAAAGATAGAAAGAGATGGAGTACTTCCAAACTCGATCTACGAGGCCAGCATCACCATAATTCCAAAACCAATGAACCCACCAAAAAGGAGAATTATAGACCAATATCCTTGATGAACACAGATGCAAAAATTCTCAACAAGATACTAGCCAATAGGATCCAACAATATATTAAGAAAATTATGGGGATCCCTGGGTGGCTCAGTGGTTTAGCACCTGCCTTTGGCCAGGACCTGATCCTGGAGATCCAGTATCAAGTCCCACATCGGGCTCCCTGCGTGGAGCCTGCTTCTCCCTCTGCCTGTGTCTCTGACTGTCTCTCTGTCTCTGTCTATCATGAATAAATAAATAAAATCTTTTAAAAAATATTATTCACCATGACCAAGTGGGATATATCCCCGGGATGCAAGGCTGGTTCAACACTCATAAAGTAATCGATGTGATTGATCATATCAAAAAGAGAAAAAACAAGAATCATATGATCCTCTCAGTAGATGCAGAGAAAACATTTGACAAAATACAGTATCCATTCCTGATCAAAACTCTTCAGAGTGTAGGGATAGAGGGAACATTCCTCAGCATCTTAAAAGCCCACAGCAAATATCATTCTCAATGGGGAAACACTGAGAGCCTTTCTCAAAAGATCAGAAACAAGACAGGGATGTCCACTCTCACCACTATTCAGCATAGTACTGGAAGTCCTCGCCTCAGCAATCAGGCAACAAAAAGAAACAAAAGGCATTCAAATTGGCAAAGAAGAAGTCAAACTCTCGTCTTCACAGATGACATGATACTGTACGTAGAAAACCAAACAGACTCCATCCCAAGATTGCTAGAACGCATACAGCAATTCGGCAGTCTGGCAGGATACAAAAGCAATGCCCAGAAATCAGTGCCATTTCTATACACTGACAATGAATCTGATGTAAGAGAAATTAAGGAGTCAATCACATTTACAATTGCACTGAAAATCACAAGACACCTAGGAATGAACCTAACTAAAGAGGTAAAGGATCTTTATTCTAAATACTATAGAACACTTCTGAAATAATTTGATGAAGACACAAAAAGGTGAAAATATATTCCATTAATATTGTGAAAATGTCAATGTTACCCAGGGCAACTTACACATTTAATACAATCCCTATCAAAATAGCATGGATTTTCCTTAGAGAGTTGAAACAGATAATATTAAGATATTTTTGGAATCAGAAAAGACCCCGAATAGCCAGGGGAATATTGAAAAAGAAAGCAAGAGATGGGGGCATCACAATGCTGGATGTCAAGTTGTATTACAAAGCTATGGTCATCAAGACAGTGTGGTACTGGCACAAAAACACACATAGATCAATGGGACAGAATAGAGAAACCAGAAATGGGCCCTCAAATCTATGGTCAACTAATATTCAACAAAGGAGGAACCTATCCACTGGAAGAAAGACAGTCTCTTCAATAAATGGTGCTGGGACAATTGGACATCCACATGCAGAAGAATGAAACTAGACCACTCTCTTGCACCAGACACAAAGATAAACTCAAAATGGATGAAAGATCTAAATGTGAGACAAGATTCCATCCAAATCCAAGAGGAGAACACAGGCAACACCCTTTTTGAACTCAGCAACAGGAACTTCTTGCAAGTTACACCCATGAAGGCAAGAGAAACAAAATAAAAAATGAACTATTGGGACTTCATCAAGATAAGAAGCTTTTGCACAGCAAAGGATACAGTCAACAAAACTCAAAGACAACCTACAGAATGGGTGAAGATATTTGCAAATGACGTATCAGATAAAGGACTAGTATCCAAGATTTATAAAGAACTTACTACACTAAACAGCAAGGAAACAAATAATCCAATCATGAAATAGGCAAAAGACATGAAGAGAAATCTCACAGAGGAAGACAAAGACATGGCCAACATGCACATGAGAAAATGCTCCGCATCACTTGCCATCAGGGAAATACAAATCAAAACCACAATGAGATCCCACGTCACACCAGTGAGAATGGGGAAAATTAACAAGGCAGGAAACAACAAATGTTGGAGAGGATGCGGAGAAAAGGGAACACTCTTGCACTGTTGGTGGGAATGTGAACTGGTGCAGCCACTCTGGAAAACTGTGTGGAGGTTCCTCAAAGAGTTAAAAATAGACCTGCCCTACGACCCAGCAATTGCACTGTTAGGGATTTACCCCGAAGATTCACATGCAATGAAACGCCGGGACACCTGCACCCCGATGTTTCTAGCAGCCATGTCCACAATAGCCAAACTGTAGAAGGAGCCTCGGTGTCCATCGAAAGATGAATGGATAAAGAAGATGTGGTTTGTGTATACAATGGAATATTCCTCAGCCATTAGAAACGACAAATACCCACCATTTGCTTCAACGTGGATGGAACTGGAGGGTATTATGCTGAGTGAAGTAAGTCAATCGGAGAAGGACAAACAGTGTATGTTCTCATTCATTTGGGGAATATGAATAATAGTGAAAGGGAATATAAGGGAAGGGAGAAGAAATGTGTGGGAGATATCAGAAAGGGAGACAGAACATAAAGACTCCTAACTCTGGGAAATGAACTAGGGGTGGTGGAAGGGGAGGAGGGTGGGGGTGGGGGTGAATGGGTGACGGGCACGGAGGGGGACACTTGAGGGGATGAGCACTGGGTGTTATTCTGTATGTTGGCAAAGTGAACACCAATAAAAAATTAATTTATTTAAAAAAAAAGAAGAGAAAGAAAAGAAAAGGCAAATGATGGAATGGAAGAACCTATTTGTAGCTGCTCTATCTGACGATGGGTGAGTATACAAACTGTCCAAGCACTTCATTAGGAGTACTTTCACGTTTTCAGTAGACAGCATGTACATGGAGCTTAGCACACTGTCATGAGAGGAGCAGAAAGCTTGCCTTTAAGTTTGTAGGTCGTAATTTCTCCACAACATGAGATCTACCCTCTTACCAAAATGGTCCCTGTAGGCACACTATTGTTATTTGCAGGTTCAGGGTTATGGAGCACACCTCTGGAACAGAATCATGTTGCATAACATAAAACCAGAACCCAAGAGATGCAAGTCCCCATTGCCCCTCCCACCAGTGCTGGCAACTGCCAAACCATTCTCTGCTTCTTTGTTCCTGAACCCAAATTATAGGTGCCCATCGTTGACAAGGCCAATATTCAAGATATGAGTTTTGACTGGAAAGATAGGGAGCTTGGTTCAGGAGGCCACTCACATGAGCAAAAGGGGCACACCTGTGAGGTTTTTCTAACCCTAAAGACATTAAAGGTTTTTGAGAAGCTAGTCGCCAAAGGGAGCGCAGTGCTTGGAACATTTATAGCCCACACGCAGGCTCCCAGGTGCCAACTACCATCCTTGCCTCAGCGCAGCCCCATCCCTGTGTCTTCTGCTCAGGGCAGCCACACATACAGCCCAAGGCCAGGAAAGAACCACGATAGAGGACAGCAAGCCACAGGGACACCCATGGGGTCAGCAGTATATTCCTTTCTTACCAGCTGGAGTGACAAAACAATAAAATACAACCTGGAACCTTACCAGTCCTCACCAAAAACTGGGCAATGTTTTACTCAGTGAGCACAAAAGAGGTTTCTAAAAATACCCAGAAGGATCCAAAGACTTGCAGGTTGCTGGCAAAGCAGAATAAGATGTGTAAATTTACAAATCCATGGTGTTCCACAGCTACTTGGTAAAATTTGCCATGTCCCTTAACATGCCGAGGAAGGAGAAAGGAATGGTCTCCACAGAGAGTGATATTGGCTGTGCACAGAACATGACCCAGGGGAACCATGGCAGTTGGAACTGGTAGAGAAAGTAATTGCTGTATAACCATATGTCACATATTCAAGGGTCTGGAGGAAACACTGGACGTGTGGGAAAGGGGCTGCCTCTGGGTCCTACCCCCTCTGCACCCCTCACACATCCACCCCAGCTGAACTGATGTGCAGACCCACCCTCTGCCACACCTCGTGTCTGTGACCTAATCACAGCTGGTTGCCAGGTGTAGGGACCTGGCAGCCTGAGGCAGCCCTCTGTTCTGTCAGATCCTCTAGACCTGGCTGTGCTGAGGGTCCTCCTTTTATCTACCTCACTGCCAGATGTCCCTGAGCAGGGGGTGAGGTTGGCAGAGGGCCGAGACACCATGAGAGAGCTCCTCTTACTGCTTGTGCTCTGGGCAGGGCTGGCTCCCACCCAGGGTTCTCAAGGCCGTCCCTCATGGCGTTACGTCTCCTCTGAGGTGGTCATCCCCAGGAAGGAGCTGCACCATGGCAAAGGCGTCCAGATGCCAGGCTGGCTCTCCTACAGCCTGCACTTTGGGGGCAAGAGGCACGTTATCCACATGCGGCGCAAGAAACTCTTCTGGTCCAGGCATCTGCTGGTGATGACTCAGGATGACCAAGGTGCCTTGCAGATGGACTACCCCTTCGTCCCTCCTGACTGTTACTACCTCGGCTACCTGGAGGAGGTTCCTCTTTCCATGGTCACCCTGGACACGTGCTATGGGGGACTGGAAGGTATTATGAAATTGGATGACCTTGCCTATGAGATCAAACCCCTCAGCAGTTCCCAAAGATTTGAACACATTGTTTCTCAGATAGTGGCAGACAGCATTGCAACAGTCCCTACCTATAAACTGGGACTGAAGGAGGACAGGGACCCCTTGTTCTCTCAAGCAAATGCCAGTGTAGTTACACGGCTCTCAAGTAAGATGTATGCATCTCATCATGGATATGTGAAATCGCTTGCCTTAAGTTCGCACTCAATGTACAGTGTGTTCAACAACGTGTCTAAATGTGCCCAATTTCTAATATCGGTATTTAATTTGATTGACACATTCTTTTTAGGACTTGATATAAATTATTACGTTGCATTCATTATTATATATAATCAACGAGATCCAAATGTCCTTAACAATTATCACCCGACGGATAGTCCATATGGTCGATATTATGTCTACAACTTGTATGCACTTCTTGCACCACATTCATCCATAATTATGATTAAAAATGTGCCACAGGATGCTGAATTTGAACCCATCGCATATGCAATTTGCAATCGTGGTAACCTCATCATGCTAGGATATCTAGACAGACAGTATTTAATATTGGCTATTGTAGGAGCACAAAAGGTCGCGAGAAGTTTTGGTGTATACTATGACAATCCTTATTGTTCCTGCCAGAGAAGGTCCAAGTGTATTATGAACAACTACTTTGCTCTGACAGACTCTTTCAGTAACTGTTCCTTCATGCATATACAGCACATACTGGGTGGTGGCGTAGCTGAATGTATTTACAGCTCTGAAATGGTGTATTTTAATAAAAGCTTGACTCGGGAGCATTGTGGCAACTACAGAGTGGATCCCCTTGAACAGTGTGACTGTGGCTCCTTCAAACAGTGTTATAGCAATCTCTGCTGTCATAACGATTGTACCTTCACTACTGGAAGCATATGTAATACAGGCAGATGCTGCACAAACTGCACCTATTCCCCTGCTGGGACACTCTGCAGGCCAATCCAAACTGTGTGTGATCTTCCAGAGTACTGCCGAGGAGGGTCCTTGACATGCCCTGATGATTTCTATATGCAAGATGGAACCCCGTGCACTGAAGTGGGCTACTGTTATCATGGAAACTGTACTGACCGCTCTGTGCACTGCAAAGAAATCTTTGGTAAAAATGCTGTGAATGGTGCAGATGTATGCTATACCATAAATAGAAGAGGTGATAGATATGGACACTGCAGAAGAAAGGAGAGGTTAATGGCCAGTACGGCTTGTAATCTAGAAGACATTCAGTGTGGAAGACTGCAGTGTAGCAATGTCACTCATCTCCCTCGGTTGCAAGAACATGTGGGATTCCATCAGTCTAAGATATCAGGGGTCTGGTGTTTTGGATTGGATTCACATCGTGGCACAGGAACAAATGATGTTGGTCATGTGCGATCTGGTACTCCCTGTGCTCCTGGAAAGTTCTGTCAAAATACCTACTGCAATGGCACTATAGCTCAGCTGAAGTATGACTGCATCCCTGAAAAATGCAGTCACAGGGGCATTTGCAACAACAACAGGAACTGTCATTGCCACATAGGCTGGGATCCTCCACGGTGCATTGATCGAGGTGCTGGTGGGAGCACAGACAGTGGACCCCCTCCAAGAAGAATGCGGGCAGTCAGGCAAAGTCATGAGTCAGTGATATATCTGAGAGTGGTCTTTGCTCGAATCTATGCCCTGATAGCCACACTCCTCTTTGGCGTTGCTACCAATGTAAGAACCATTAAGACGGTTGTAGTTAAGGAGCAGATAGTCCATGAGGGCAATCCATAAATCAGCCTCCAGCCCCCTGAACAGCTATTGGAAACCCACAGAAACATGATTGAAACTATAGCAAGTTGGTGGCCATGCTGAAATCCACGTTTCCAGGGGCCTGCAGGAGACAAAAGGGATCCCACGCACATCATGGGGCTCTCGTACCAGGTCCGCGATTGGTCTCTGACCAGCCGCCTGAAATAAATCTTGAAAAGTACACGTTGGTGGCCTCTCCACATGTTTGTAAGCCTGTAAAAGCCCAACCTGAGCTCGAGACTGTCGGGAAGACCTGAGTCAGCAGCCCGGCCTTGAGCTGAGGTCCCTGGCTGCTACCTCAGGGAGGTTGCCCCAGGTTCTTTTAGGGCAAATGCATGATGTTCCTTCAAACCTGTGCCCATGAGCACTGAGGTTTTTCTCACCCTCCAGGTAATCTCCCTGCTTCAGTCCCAGAGTGGGTGTATGGCGATGGAGGGCTATCCCCACTCACACTGCGTGTCCTACACTGGGGTGGCTGTGGGTTGTAGGGGAGGGTGACTGGGATTTGATACCATCTAGTGCAAGCTGGGCCACCCTGGTAAGCAAGTTTCTGAATGCGGGAGACCTGGGCCATGGTCCTGATGGTTACACCCTATCAACTCAATCATAAAGGACAGTAAAAGTGCCCAACACTGCCTCTACCATCCAGAGGGACCCCTATGAATATTTGTTTATTTGTTCTTCCCTCCCTTTCCTCTTGCCTGCATTTCAGGGAGCTGAGCAGTGACCATAGCTAAGCAGGTGCAGTGAAAAATTCAACTTGTATTTCTGAGCTACTGCCTCAGAAATACATCAGACATGGAATCACACCCACTCTTCCTCCCCATCACCCATGATAAGGACCTGCTTGTGATTCCTTCTCTGGTTATCCCAGGCAGCCTTTACAGTCACCACCCAGATTGGAACCTGTGAAATGATATATATTATTGAAGTCCGGTTTGCCAACATAGAGTATAACACCCTTCCACCTTTTGTGTAATTGGTGGCTTGCTACTCTGTGCTCTTTCTTCTGTTCTCTGGGGTCCCAGGAGGGAGATCAGCCTTTCCCGGGTCATTGTGCCCCTTCACTTCTGGGCTCTGTATGTATTAAATCCTGTGAGCCTACTTCCATTGAGGGGTGAACTGAAACTCCATGTTCAGGCAGAAATGCCATAGGGTCTCACATCCACAGAGTGGGTGCTCAATGGCCAAGGAAGCCACCTGTCACCTCCATGTGGACAGTAAAGGTTCATCCTTCACCAAGTCACAGTCTGTGTGTCCTTTTAAAAAATATTTTATTTATTCATTCATGACAGACACAGAGAGAGCAAGAGACAGACAAAGACACAGGCAGAGGGAGAAGCAGGCTCCATGCAGGGAGCCTGCCATGGGACTCGATCCCAGATCTCCAGGATCAGGCCCTGAGCTGAAGGCAGCGCTAAACCACTGAGCCACCTGGGCTGCCCATAGTCTGTGTGTCCTTCATTAAGTACAGCAACTGTGGATGCCCAATGCAATTGTCCACAGGGTTGGGTCTGAGGGTCTAGCCAGTAACCCCCAAAATGTCTTGCAGCTGGACTGGCTCACTCACATCCTCACCAAGATCACTCAAGCGCTTTGGGAAGGAGCTTCTGCTTGCTAGTGGTCTGTAGCTTCACTGTTACACTGGACTTCATCCATATGCAGGGACAGTATTTTGTTATTAGTTCCATAGACACTTGGATACACTTGTGCCTCTGTGCAAGCACTGTTGCTATGAAACTTTTGCATGTGTACTTACATAATGCTTTATCCACCATTAGCATATTTCAAACAGCATTATTTCTGACCAGGGAACACACATCACAGCAAATGGTGTATAGAAAGCATCCATGTTCTTGGAATTCACAGGTTTTTCCATGTTCTCCATTGTCCTGTAGCAGGTGTTTTGATAAAAAAGGTGGCATGTCCTTTTGGAAATTCTGTTAGAGTAAGCTAGGTGACAATATCTGGCAGACCTGGGATCCCTGGGTGGCGCAGCGGTTTGGCGCTTGCCTTTGGCCCAGGGCGCAATCCTGGAGACCGGGGATCGAATCCCACGTCAGGCTCCCGGTGCATGGAGCCTGCTTCTCCCTCTGCCTATGTCTCTGCCTCTCTCTCTCTCACTGTGTGACTATCATAAATAAATAAATTTTTAAAAAAAAAATATCTGGCAGACCTGGGACAATGTTCTCTAAGAGGACATATAGAGGGGAGGGGGCAAGATGGTGGAAGAGTAGAATCCCCAAGTCACCTGTCCCCATCAAATATACCTACCTAACCACAAACTGTGGTTGAATAGAAACTGTATTTTCCGACGAGGAGGGGCAAGATGGCAGAAGAGTAGGGTCCCCAAATCACCAGTCCCCACCAAATTACCTAGATAACCTTCAAATCATCCTGAAAATCATCGCTTCTTGGCCTGAGATTTAAAGAGAGAACAGCTCCTTCCACAGTTTGGCTATTGTGGACATGGCTGCTAGAAACATCGGGGTGCAGGTGCCCCGGCGTTTCATTGCATCTGAATCTTCGGGGTAAATCCCTAACAGTGCAATTGCTGGGTCGTAGGGCAGGTCTATTTTTAATTCTTTGAGGAACCTCCACACAGTTTTCCAGAGTGGCTGCACCAGTTCACATTCCCACCAACAGTGTAAGAGGGTTCCCTTTTCTCCACATCCTCTCCAACATTTGTTGTTTCCTGCCTTATTAATTTTCCCCATTCTCACTGGTGTGAGGTGGTATCTCATTGTGGTTTTGATTTGTATTTCCCTGATGGCAAGTGATGCAGAGCATTTTCTCATGTGCATGTTGGCCATGTCTATGTCTTCCTCTGTGAGATTTCTCTTCATGTCTTTTGCCCATTTCATGATTGGATTGTTTGTTTCTTTGGTGTTGAGTTTAATAAGTTCTTTATAGATTTTGGAAACTAGCCCTTTATCTGATATGTTATTTGCAAATATCTTCTCCCATTCTGTAGGTTGTCTTTGAGTTTTGTTGACTGTATCCTTTGCTGTGCAAAAGCTTCTTATCTTGATGAAGTCCCAATGCTCATGGATTGGCAGAATTAATATTGTGAAAATGTCAATGCTACCCAGGGCAATTTACACGTTCAATGCAATCCCTATCAAAATACCATGGACTTTTTTCAGAGACTTAGAACAAATTATTTTAAGATTTGTGTGGAATCAGAAAAGACCCCGAATAGCCAGGGGAATTTTAAAAAAGAAAACCATAGCTGGGGGCATCACAATGCCAGATTTCAGGTTGTACTACAAAGCTGTGGTCATCAAGACAGTGTGGTACTGGCACAAAAACAGACACATAGACCAATGGAACAGAATAGAGAATCCAGAAATGGACCCTGAACTTTATGGTCAACTAATATTCGACAAAGGAGGAAAGACGATCCACTGGAAGAAAGACAGTCTCTTCAATAAATGGTGCTGGGAAAATTGGTCATCCACATGCAGAAGAATGAAACTAGACCACTCTCTTGCACCAGACACAAAGATAAACTCAAAATGGATGGAAGATCTAAATGTGAGACAAGATTCCATCAGAATCCTAGAGGAGAACACAGGCAACACCCGTTTTGAACTTGTCCACAGTAACTTCTTGCAAGATACATCCACGAAGGCAAAAGAAACAAAAGCAAAAATGAACTATAGGGACTTCCTCAAGATAAGAAGCTTTTGCACAGCAAAGGATACAGTCAACAAAACTAAAACACAACCTACAGAATGGGAGAAGATATTTGCAAATGACGTATCAGATAAAGGGCTAGTTTCCAAGATGTATAAGAACTTCTTAACCTCAACACCAAAGAAACAAACAATCCAATCATGAAATGGACAAAAGACATGAAGAGAAATCTCACAGAGGAAGACATAGACATGGCCAACATGCAAATGAGAAAATGCTCTGCATCCCTTGCCATTAGGGAAATAGAAATCAAAACCACAATGAGATACCACCTCACACCAGTCAGAATGGGGAACATTAACAAGGCAGGAAACCACAAATGTTGGAGAGGATGCGGAGATAAGGGAACCCTCTTGCACTGTTGGTGGGAATGTGACCTGGGGCAGCCACTCTGGAAAACTGTGTGGAGGTTCCTCAAAGAGTTAAAAATAGACCTGCCCTATGACCCAGCAATTGCACTGTTGGGGATTTACCCCAAAGATTCAGATGCAATGAAATGCCAAGACACCTGCACCCCGATGTTTCTAGCTGCAATATCCATAATAGCCAAACTGCAGAAGGAGCCTCGGTGTCCATCGAAAGATGAATGGATAAAGAAGATGTGGTCTATGTATACAATGGAATATTCCTCAGCCATTAGAAACGACAAATACCCACCATTTGCTTCAACGTGGATGGAACTGGAGGGTATTATGCTGAGTGAAGTAAGCCAATTGGAGAAGGACAAACAGTGTATGTTCTCATTCATTTGGGGAATATGAATACTAGTGAAAGGGAATATAAGGGAAGGGAGAAGAAATGTGTGGGAAATATCAGAAAGGGAGACAGAACATAAAGACTCCTAACTCTGAGAAACGAACCAGGGGTGGTGGAAAGGGAGGAGGGCGGGGGGTGGGGGTGAATGGGTGACGGGCACTGGGGAGGGCACTTGACGGGATGAGCACTGAGTGTTATTCTGTATGTTGGTAAATTGAACACCAATAAAAATTAATTTATAAAAATAAAAAATAAAGATTTTTGTGGAATCAGAAAAGATCGAATAGCCAGGGGAATTTTAAAAAAGATAACCATATCTGGGGGCATCACAATGTCAGATTTCAGGATGTACTACAAAGCTGTGATCATCAAGACAGTGTGGTCCTGGCACAAAAACAGACACATAGAGCAATGAAACAGAATAGAGAACCCAGAAATGGATCCTGAACTTTATGGTCAACTAATATTCGATAAAGGAGGAAAGAGTATCCACTGGAGAAAAGACAGTCTCTTCAGTAAATGATGCT